TGAGTGATAGGCGCTGGGGCAGAAGAGCACAGGAAGAAGTGTACAATATATATATATATGAGTTGGGTCTGTCCTAATACCTGTAACAGTCAGTAAACAATTATCACTACTTTTGGACAAGGCCTCTACTAACCATCATCATCCACTGTTACAGGCAATAGGATAGACTCAGTATATATATATATATATGTATACATACCTGGTTACTATATATATATATATATGTACACACACCTATTTTGCATATATATATATACATACACACACACACGCACATGTTGCTTCTAAAGTCTCTAAGAATCCACTCTTTCCAGCTGAGTCCTCGAATCAGGGCGAGCCGTTAGCCGCCGAGCATTGTGCCAAGCCACCTGGTCCCAGAAAGCGGATGGCACCGAGGAAGAGGTCGACAAAAGTGTAGAAAGACCGAGGAAGGTGTCCTGTATTGGCGACCATGTTTGGAAGATGCGATGTTTGTTCCTTTTTCTTGGTGTATTTCCCTGAACAACATGTCATGTTGGAGTGTGCAAGCTTGGAACGAACAGCATGCTGGCGTTTGTAGCTCTCATGCTTCAGTCCCTGGGTGTTACCATGGGGCCATATCACCCTGCCTGGTTGGTTCAGACTGCTGGAAGGGATGTTTTTGGAGGTGGACCTCTCCAAGGCCTCTCCATCCCCTCATGTCCCGCCTCGTGTGTTCGGACCGGAGATTGGGTCGCTCATTAGTGGAGGGTCGGACTCTTTACATGAGGATGATGGTGATGTCTTGTTCCGATGACCTAGAAGGTCCTTCGAAAAGACACGGGGCGCCAAAGAAAACCAACGATTCCACTGATGCCGAGCGGCTCACACAAAGGTCTCCTGTATATGTTTGCTGGATACTGGCCATCAAGGTCCTATGCCAATGCTTATACTATACTCAATGCTGCCTGAATTAAAAACGCGCCACCTGCGAACACTTGGACATCTTCGCCTGTTCTGTGGGTATGCTAGCAGCTTCAGATAGCTTCCGATAGCTTCGCCCTTGGGGCAACACCAGGTGATGGAACTCAGTCGTTTCCTTTTTTTCACGTTTTGTCCACAAAAAGGGGAGGCACGTGCCTGGTGCGGTACCCCAAGGAACATGCACATCCAGTTGCTGCGACACCTCTCCAAAGTTGAGGGGAAGGCGCGGAAGAGATCCTCGGAATGGAGGGGAAGGCGTTTCTGCAGGTTCTAAAGCTCAGGGTCATCGGAGAACTTCTCGAAGCCACACTTTCGACCGTGGAGATCGTGGTTCGACTGGAGTGATCCACGTTCGTCAGAACCACGATCACGATCTCCACGGTCACTGTTTGTTCCCGTCTATGGCATAGACGGGGTCACTCCTCCACAATCGCCTCTGATGGATTGGATTCAAGAGGTTAGTGAGATGTAATGAGTCGAGTCTTTTGATCCTTATCACTCAACCTCTCAACACCAGAGCCTTTGCTTCAGTCTCAAGGAATCCCAAGGCCTCCAAGACCAAGACCTGCGGCTGGCCTCAGAGGCTTCCAACACTTCCCCCTGGCCAGTGATGTTTCCCAAACCAACGAGGAACCGAGAACTGGGATATGATGTGGCCAGCAGAAAGCATATGCTTTGAAAGTGGTAGGAATAGACACGGGCATCTACTTTGGTTTCAAATTTATAATGTTTGTTCAGAAACCGCTGTTGCTTTTTGTTGCGGTTGTTGTCTTCTTTTTCCAGTTGCTGTGTCCACAATTCGTTTGAACCTTAAAGTATAGCTCTTTCCCGCACACAGCAAGTGGAGCGCATACCAGAGAAAGGGCAGAGATGAGAAGACGGGGTGGGAAGGGAACGGAGGTGAAGGAAGAGGATAGGAAACTTGACCCACCCTCAGTCTTTTTAGAAGGGAGCAAAACCACTGAAGGTTAAACCCGAAACGCAAAGGACCGGGCCTGGACAGCCAAGGAAAGGAAGGGGAAAAGATGAGAGACAAACAAGGTCTATATGGGACCGAAGAAGAATTCGCGCGCGGGAAGGTCAATGAGACCCAGCTAAAGCGCAGCCTTCGGGGTGCCTTGGTGTCCCTGGATGTGGAAGTACAGGCAGCGGGGGCACTGGGGAGACATTTGAAGGATCAGTTATAAGATACAACTACCTGGACCTTCAAGGGGTGTCCAATGGAGATCCCTAAGTAGTGTAGGGGCTTCCGTTGGTGACCCCCTTGAAGGTGCTGGTTTATTCAAGTCAAGTCATTTATTTTACACGTTTCAGATGGGTTTTTTCACGTGTGCAACAGCGCTTGAATTCGTGGTCAGAGGGCGGGTACGTGGGAGGAATGAGGTGTACTGCGCGGGTACCGGCATGGGCGCACTGAATGCAGTCCACCCTGCAGGTCCCCCTTGTGTGGCCGAAGGGGTGTTTTGATGAGCAAGTTCAAGGCTTCTACCTATAGAAGCTGTTTCCGGTCCTTCGCTGAACCGAAGCAAAGGAGAGTTCGTCGCTGAGTTCGTCGCTCGGGAGGGGTTTCGTAAAGCGAATCCAGAGCAGGGTCCCACTGGCCTGACGGTGTCCAGCGGTCCCGGGAATATCAGAGGAACCGGGGCCGGAGACGTCGTTCGAAACGCGGGCAGCGCGGTGGTGTGCGATCTATTTCCTGTTGGACATGCTAAGTGATCCGGGAGAAACACCTGAGATGCGAGATGCGAACTTACAAACAATACACCAGGGTGACACAAACCTAGTGACCGAGTGTGTTCTACCAGAGTAAGAACCTCCACTTTACGGTTGTCTTTTTTGTGTGCGTGGCAGCTTTGTCAACGTGCTCATCAGAGAGTGACAGAGGGATATCTTCTCCACTGACGTTCTGCTCTCATTTGCTCCCCATGCCCATCCCAACAGGAGAAACTACCGGGGCAGCGTGGCTGTTCCGCGGCGCGGCTGTTGGTCGGAGGGTGAGAGGGAGGGCATTGCATTCTAGTTCGGGACCCAACTCAAAGTGTTGGGCATTTTTTTCGTAACCATTTCTAGTATACAGAGGTTTTGCTCTTCAGCATCAGGAAGAACACCTTGAGATTAAATGAAGTTTCTAGGTGGCTCAGGACAGCAGTCAATGGTAGTGAGGAGGAGGAGCAGTAGGAGCAGTAGGAGCAGGAGCAGTAGGAGGAGCAGGAGGGGAAGGAAGAGGAATAGGACACTCAAGAGTTTGCAATCAGATTTTTGCAGTAGTTTCTGACAACCCCGTGTAGATGAGTAAGCAGTCGGCATGGCCCAGCGACTCTGTAGGTTGCTATTACAAGAACCGCTGAATGAGTAGGACCCCAAAGACAGTTTTTGCGACAGAATAGATTCATACATACATACATACATAATATAATATAATATATATATATGTATATACCTGGCAAAGGAAGTTCTCATCCACACCCAGAGATATAACAGGCCGTCACCGGCAACTGCCCCGTCGCATCGGCGTTGTGACCCCACCAGCGCCACAGGCGGCGGCCTTGCTTTGCGGGGAGCGGCTGCTGGTGGGGGTGGTTGGCACCGCGTCGGCTGCCAGCTGCCAAGGCGGATCCGGTGAGGACCTGTGGAGGACAAGATGGCACTCGGGTCTGAGCCAAGGGCGAACAAAGTTAGCCTAGGCCTAGAGTGGCCAGAACATTGCTTGCAACACAGTGGCCAGATGCTGCTGTGCAACATGGCCTTCTTTCGGTCAGTTTCAGCACCTCTACCGGCGCGTTTCGGCACCTCTAACCGGAGAATGACAGGCTCCTTCCAAAGCATCATCCGGCAACACTTCCCATCTTCCCCCCATCGTCAGAGAAACCGGATCTTCGGAAGTGGGAAGTCGAACGGAGAGTGGAACGGTCTGTCTGTTGTGAACGGAGAGACCCATTTCAAAGGGTAAGGCACACATAGGATTAAGGAACCCCCCCTTATTAATCAAGCCCAGCTGCCCCAGAAACAATTAGAATATGGTTTACTATTGTATAATTATTGCTTTATATTTTATTTTTATCTTTTAGAATTTCAATATCTTCTGGTCCACTGCTTCTCATCCTTCTTCTGCTTCATTCTCATCCATCATTATCATCATCCTTCTGCTTCTCATCCTGCTTTTTCTTCTCATCCTTCCCTGTTAAAAACCAAACAAGTCGCTAGCACAATTCCTTCATTTTCTCTTATTCAAACTCTATCAAAATCTTAAGGTTTTCAAGCTCACAAAGGGACCTCTCACACAGGGCCTACCACCCTCTAATAGTAGGGGCTATCCTCTGGCCTCCATCTTGTTTTCAATCTCTTTCATCCTGCAATCCTCTTTCTTTTCCTAATCATCCCAACCATCCCAATCCCAATCTTTCCTAATCTTGTCATCTCATCATCTCATCATCCCAATCCATCATCTTTATTAAGGGGATGTGCCCTTCAAAACACAGTGCTTTGGCAGGACAGGTCTCCAATACCTCCAATACCTCCAATCTCAGACCTTGTCGACCTTGTTGACCGGGGGGGTGGATTAATCCTATCTTGGCACTATCAAGATGTCTCCTGTTTGTTACCTGTTTCACTCTGGACAAAAAGCGCTCCAGATTACCCCCAACTGACTTGATCTGTGTCATGATGATGTCATCTCCATAAATGAACACAAGGGTTGAAGGTCGTGGATCTCCGCCCTTGGCCCTTGGATTCACCACTCGGCAGTCTCCGCGCTTCACTGGTAGAGAGCCAGGCCCTGCAACGCTGGCGGACGCAGGCGCGCCAAGCAACGGAATCGCTTCGAAGCTTCGACTCGGAAAGCGACGCGAAATCGCGTGGACGAAAGCCAGGTTGGGAGTCCTTTTGGTTGTGAGTTTCCGTTGGGATAGATGCGAGTACGGAGTATTTTCATGGTGAGGTTTTTTAGTGTTCGGGCATGCAGCTCGGACACCTGGAAGACTGTAAAACATTGCCACTGCCATGTGGAATTGGCATGGTGAGTTGGTGAGTATGAGTCTGTTCCAAATCTCCATGTCCATGAAGAACGCTCGCAACTTTTTCAACATTCCTTGTCCCATGGCAAATCCACGTTCGACTAGAGCAATTCATCCGTTGCCGGGGGATCTGATGCAGCAGAGCCCATCCTCACCCATCTTTTAATTCAGAGCCCAATCCGCCATTTCAGAGACTCATGAATCCAATGATTGTGACATATGTATACACATGTCATATTTCTTGGGTGTGTCCCAGTACCTGTAGAGCCGTCGGTAAACACTTATCACTCTTTTGGAGATGCGGCCTGCAACCAGGCCCCATCATCATCCACTGCGCCCAGGGAATCATATATACCCAACCATTTTTTTTTCAATATTTCATCATGTTTCATCATATTCCCACCACATGATTAGTACATATTTCATGTTTCATACAGGTACATATTTCATCAGGTACCGGTACCCACCACATTTCATCCTCGACCTGCGGTTCGACCGGGGACCGGACCGAACCAGTGCGGCGACCGCCGGTGCAGCTGGTCGCACGTGTGAAGCGGAACCTCGGTGACGCAGGCGCGGACGAAGCGAGCGAACAGACGAAGCAGCGAACGTCTGAGGACTATGGCTGTGGGGTGTGGTTTGGTGGATGAAGAGGTTTCATGTCTGAGTGGTACTTTGTGGGGAGTGAGTCAGATGGATTTTTGGAAATCTATAGATTCCCTCATTCCCTACTAAGCACCAGTCAGATTGTGCATCTGGGTTGTTCTCATCTTCTTTTCCTCAGCGTATTCCTTGTTCCTTAGGCAGTTGCGAGCCAACTGTTCAAAAATAGAGGTTTCGCAACAGGAGGACACTCTACTAATGGGACAAGGAAACAAAGACCTGGTGCAGGATCCCTCGCGTTTTGAGACATCTCAAACGGATCCAGATAGACTTTTGTGAAGAGAAACTTGACAGGTTTTTGCCAGGAGTCAACATCTCGTCACACGCATGGAAACCTCCATTCCACTTGCCCCATGCCCCAACAAAACCTTGTGGAGAACAAGCGTTTGCACCAAGATGCCATTCAAGCATCCAAGAGCGCATTCAATTTGGTTTTGGTGCTCCAGTTGGATCTTCAGGCCAGTTCCTCCATTCCCCGGTTTTTTCGTCCTCAGGCGCCGCTGCACCCAAGCTGGGAGCCACAGGCACGGTGATCGCCCAGCGGTGGCGCCAGTGTGTGGTCTACTTGGCTGCAGGGCAATTTGAAGTTCTCAGCCTAAAGAACGCATATATACGTCGAACTCATGGTGGAGGCGAACCCTCCGCGTTTTTGGGGGCCATTTGTGGGCAGGACAAGTTCCGGGACACATTTTCAGGTCGCAGCGGCTGCGCACCTTCAACTCTATTCAACCACACGTTTCGCTCTCCTGCGGAGCGAAACGACCCCTCCGAGCGAAACGTGAGCGAAAGTCGAGGTCTGAAGGGATGAAAGGTGTTCAAAAACGAAGGGGTGGTTCCGTTACGGGTTGGTTTGTTACTCTATGATTTGTTTTGGGGTCGAGTCCTGTTCCTTTTTTTGGGGGTCTTACAGTGAAGAGCTTCTCAAAGACCCTCAGATATTCAAAATCAGCCCCTTCTTTCTGTCTTTTGACCTTAATAATCAAATTGATTCAACTCTTCTTCTAGGTCAGTCACGAGATCTCTCGTTGACATTCAGCTCCCAGCACCACTCCCAGCACCACTCCCAGCACTTCCTGCGCGGACTGAGCTTCGGCTCGGCTCGGCGAACGCACCGCGAACGCACCGCGGAACCGCCAGGCGGTCAGTTCTTGCATGCGCAACTCAGTGGACAAGTGAAGGCGGGTCGACTGGAGCCGAACCGCGCCCGGTCGAGGATCACCGCGTCGATTCGGACCGGTGCGACCGGAGGTCGAACGGGGAGGTCGAACGGGGAGTCGCAGGAGGTCGAACGGGGAGGTCGAACGGGGAGTCGCAGGTGTTTTCACGGTCGGAACTGAAGAGAAGTGGTGAATGGAGATGAATGGAGCTTCTGAGACTGCTGGAGTTTTATAGTTGTTAGGATGTTCTTTGCCATTTCCAGGACCAAACATGTGTTCATGCCAAACATCAGAGCTTGTCCCATGCCTGGCAGGGCCGAGACACCGCGGCGCAGCTCGGCAGCGAGGACGTGAAGGCGCGGCAGCTCGGAGAGAGGTTGGAGCACCAACGGTGGGGGATAGGGGGCACCCGGGTTGGAGTCTTCTATATGAAGTGCAGAAGCAGATGTGATACAAGGATCATCCGACCATCTTCTGTATGATTAAAATATGATATAGTGTGACTTTGAAATGATTGCGATTGCATAAGAGCGTTGCGTTCATATGCTGGCCCACTCCAGATCCTTTTTCAAACGAGCTGGGCTCTGGGGCAAAACCAGGAACCCCAAAGCGTTTGTAGCTTGACCAGACTACCAGTAGTCGGTATAGTCTGTTCATAGGAGCCGTGGTCCAACCGGTCGGTCCGCGGGTTTGGACCACAGCCGTAGATGGGTGTTGATCTCGAATTAAGAACACCCCTCAAAGCAACTGGGGCTTTCAGGAGCGCCTCATTTGCGGTTTTGTCCTCCAGCTATGGCTCTTCTTCTCCCCGAAAAGGGCCCGGACTTCTTGGAAACGAAGGCCGGAAGCTATTTGTCCTGGCAGGGGACTGAAGATGCGGACCGTAGATTCGCTTTTATCGAGCGAAGGCCGGTTCAGCAAGAATCATCGATTCAGCAGCCGCCATGGGTCCACAGAATTGAGCGAAGATTTCTGCTCATCCCACAGAGGAATCGCTTGGGAATCGCGAACAGAACCATTGATTGGATCGTAAGTCCCAAACCTTCTTAGCCTCTTTCAACATTTCGCAGCAGGGTTGCATCGTCAAAAGCTCACGCAGACATCCGATGTTGATCCCAAGCAAGATTCTGCCAGCTGCCAGCTTCGCGCAGGTTCTTCAACTCTCTGAACAGCATCATGACTGTCTAATCCTTGGCAGCGCCAGCTTATTGCGAGGCGCGGCTGATGGGTCCAGCGGACTGCTCCGTCACCAGTCCACCGCTGTCTGCGTGGGCTCGGCCCAGATGCCGAGCACAGAGCGGAGAGCGTTCAGCCGGCTGCCTGTAAGTGGGAATGTATTGGAACCACCCGAGGCTTGAAGTAATTCAAACATGTTCAACCTCCCTCGGGGCGTTCAGTTCATCGTTCGAATCGATTCCAAACACTGAAAACAGACATTTGGCATTTTCGTGGGTCCCTTCATTCCGCTCGCTAGACCATCCGGCTCTTCAGACTCCCCCTGTAAGGCAGCCTTTCTCAGATTTCGGACGAGAGCTGAAGTTCCTTCATCGGACGAAAAAGACACGATCAGCGATCCACTGAATCGATTTCCTCGTCCGCTCGAAAAACAGGAACATACATATACTGTACTTAATACATCTTAATACCTAACTAGCAAAACATCTCCCTTTTTCTGCCTGGGAGAAAGACATCTCTTCTTCATGGCATGCCAGGTACCACCTTGACCGAGCTGCAAGCCGCCGTCGGTAGCTGCGATGCTGGAGATGCCCTGGCAGTGAGCAGCGCCGTAGGGGCCAAGGTGAGGGAGTGGGAGGTGGTGCTTGACGTCGGATCGGATGAACTGATATGAGCTGAATTGGCGCCAGCCCAAGCATGTCAGGAGTTGCTAGCATGCTCCTAGACCTGAATTTTCATGAACTGATGGTATGGATTGCATGGATGAAACAGGTTGGGAGGTCGACTCTTTCTTCTCTCTCAGAACAGAAAAAGACTAGCGGGTGTGTGGATTGAAGTTGTTGGGCGGCCTGTTGTTGGATTGACCCCTTGCTTCTTTCGATTGTTCCCTGATGGACCCTCCTTGCGCTCGTGCTTCGCTTCTTGCGTCGGTTTGGGCAGACGACCTTGCGGGTCGATGGAGGCGAAAAGCCGACAAGTGCAGAAGACCTCTGACAAGGCTTCGACCGGACGTGGGGAGAGACGAACGACCGAGAGATGGAAAGAGTCGTGGGAGACAGGTCCAGGTGTGGCCGAAGGTGTGAGATAGGTGTGGAGGGATTCTGATCAAGGGACAAGGGAGGGAAAAAGTGGAGAGCCGAAAATGGGTGTGCATTGAGGAAGACCTCCCCCCGGTTCCGGTTTGGAAAATAGACCAGTCTACCCAGCCAGGGCCAGGTGGTCTTCCTATTGAAAAACTGAGGAATTTCGGAGGATCCCTTGTGACTTGCCGAGTAAAAGACGAACCCGCCCCGCAGGCTTGCTGGGTCCAGTCAGAGCGTGAAGAGAATGCTGCTTGGCATGAAAGAAACATCCGAACAAAAAAAGAACAACATAAAACAACCCAAAAAACACTCTCCCACACTAAAGCACGACAACTGCAGTTACAAGCAGCTGATCAAGCATTGCGTAGGACTTTCACGATGTCAGCCTTCCCCCAGGTCTTCCGCACCTGCCATCGTTTTCTCCATGGCCATGGTGTCATGAACTCGTTTGACGGCCAAATTCATCTCCGGCCTCAGGAAATCACCTGCTGTGCCGTGCTGTTGCACCGTGGAGAGGCGCTCAAAGAGAAAGCGTCCGCGCAACAGGTGGTCGGGGAACCCAGCGGAAGCGAAACCACCGGGGGTCACGGCGCCGGTGGGAACGAAGAAACGCGGGTCACGGCGGCGCCTCAACAGCTGGATCCACCAGACTGATGGAAGAAATGGGGTTGGGTTCCATGAGTGGATGGATGGCGTAGAACTTCAAGTTGCTCGATTTTTGGATCATATTTACTTTTTACACAGTGGCTGGGTTGGGGCGAAGTGCCAAACCCACAAACCGGTTCCCATGCCTGACTCAGTTGGACAAACTCTTCGCTTTTGGCCGACATTTCCTTGAGAAATCTACGACAGTACTGAAAACATCTGTCCAGTGGGGCCAATGCGGGTCCGCACAAAGGACATTTGACACAGATGAGTCTTGTGGAACATGACCATGAGTCTTGTGGATGGTAGAGCCCCAGAACTCATATTGCCATTCCATGGATCGAGTTGGTATTTGGATCCAATGCTTTGCGGTTCTTGAGAAGATTTGTCCATGACTTCACTGCATCCCAGGGGCAGAATGCCGGGCATTTCAACCGGACTCTACTCGCCTGGTCCAGCTCCAGAACCCACCTGCGCCACCATGTCCCGCAGCTGAGGCCAAGAAACAGCGGGTGGCGGCGGATGTGAAGCCAACCGTGCTTCGGCCGAAAGGTAAACGGATGAAACGATGGACACTTGAAGCGTGCTTTGGAAAACCAGGTCCAACGTGCAATGTAGTTGACGATTCTCAATGAATAAAGAATCCCTGTCAGACTCGTTTTACATCTCCATATGGGGGGTTTGATTCATCAACGGTTTATTATCTGTGTTACGGGCCGGGTGATGTTTAAGTCAACATCTGTGAGCAATTGATGCATTGGAGTGCCGGCTGCACCTCACAAGAACAGGCATCGGGTGGAACTTTTCATGAGGACTAATGATGACCATTACATACCATTACTATTGTACCTAGAGTTTCCAATGACTCATCCTGACCTCAGAACCCACCACTACCAAGAAGGTACTCCCCGACTGGGGCGTTTCCCAGACGCGTCGCCAGGGAATTTGGGTGCTTTCAGAGTTACTTCCAACGTTCAATCATGGCCGTGCCGATCTAAAATCGGTCCAACCCCCAATCCCCATCCGCCTACTAGTCGTGGATTTGGTGACCTTGGAAAACGTCTTTTTGTGGGACCTGGGTCTGTCCAACAATCCAATCAATCAACCCAATCCCAATCAACCCTGGGTCTTCCATGTGGTTCAACAACCTGGTCACCTAAGGGTTTCCCCGCTTTCCAACTCGACCGCTCCTTCCAGGCCTCCCTGGCGGAGGCCGCCGAGAAGGCGGCGGAGAAGCGCTGGGAGACGCGCGACCGGGGCGAGACCACGGCCATCGGCCCGGGTCTTCCCAGAGCGGCTGGGGGAGGGGGCTCGGGGCGGCCTGGGAGACGAGTCGCTGCCCCCGGTCGTAAGGCCAGTTTCGCCCCCCTTCGGTGCGCATCCGATCGCTCCGGACGAAGTCGGTCGCGAGGCCCGAAATGTGACGTTCGTAGCGAACATGGCTCCTAGTAGCAAGTTCAGGTGCCTAAGAGCCTTCCGGGTGCCCGGGAGTTTCGAAGATGGAGGAAAAAGAGACGCCTGCCCCCAAAAAAGGCCGTTGAAAGAGGCAGCCGTGATGGAGAGCCAATTCAGTGATGGGCGTTGGACGTCACCGCACTTAGTGGTCTCAACATGTTGTGACTGTATGGACCTCTAGTCTGTGAACGCTCTTGCTTGTGTGAAGGGGTCGGGGGCAATTTTTTTGTTCGGGAGTCTTGGCATGAGCTTTATCGTGACGCTCTTGGTTTTCGACTGCTACCTGTTGATCCCTTTTGGTTTCAGATACTGACAAATTTCAACCGTTACACTTGGGGATGATAAAACCCACTGACTCATCTTTTTTTTAAGTGAATGGAAACCCACCAACCAGTAATTATGGTGATTTAGTTGCAGGTGGACGTAAAGAGAGTCTCGGCCAAGTGCGACAGATTCCTTGCCCGGCCATGTTGACGGAATCGCTGAGTTTAGATTAGAATGATTAGACAGTCCCTGGTTCCTGAAGAATGGTTCGAAGCATGACTCCCGTTCTTTTTCTCCAACTTTCATCGCAGCGATTCCTTTGATTTATCTCATAGGTCGTAGACACTTGGGTCCCGTGGTGTATTCATGACGCTCCTGAAAAAAAAAACACGAGTCCAATAGGACTCCCATGCCAGCATTGGCTGTTCTTGAACTCTTGGGTTAGGAAGTCATTGAAGAGAACCCCCCCCCCCGTTGAACCCCCTTCACAAGGGAAAACAGACTGAAATTCATTAAGACCGCTGGGGCCTCGGCATCTTCCCGAACTGGCTCTAAAACAGTCTGGTCCGACTCAGTTCGTACGCGTCGGTGGACGGCAGACATCCGATTTTCCTGGAACAGCTGGCAGCTGGACTTTTCTTTGCTGTGAAGCTTCTTCCATGCAAAGCAAGTTGGAATTTTGACCTTAATAAGCTCGAAAAAGATAGTAAAAGAATTCGAGGAATTTGATCTCAATGGGCCCTTCGAAGATTCCCGTACTCCATGTGTTGAATGCCAGATTTTCAGCAACAATCCGATCATGGCAAACAAACGCATGCTGTGCTAGACTGAACGCTCTGAGCTCCGCCTTCCATCGCTGAGGGCCCTCCGAGCACACCGGGCAAGCGCCCGAACTCATCAAGGAGGACGGGACACCGTCCACTCTGAGAGACCTCGGCGGAAAGACCCATGGTGGATCAAGACCCGTATGGCCCGTACGGTGGATCGCATAGGACAAGACCATGTATACCTGGATACCAAAATCACTTGCCACACTGAACTGTTCGAGGCCTGTTGTCAGTGTCTCTATGGACAGATCTCAGAAATTCTAAGAGGCTGCAGCTGAGTTTGCCAACTCTGAACTGCTGCCGCCGCGGCCGCCGCCAGGAGGGCAAGATATTCGACATTTTGGAGCTTGTGCCTTGACAGAGAAGCATGCCTGGACGGAGAACCTGGACCTTCCATTCAACGCAAGGACGCAAGGTACTTGTAGTGTTTGGTCAATTCTTGCAATAGGTCAGTGTGGTAAAAATCCATCCAAAAAGCTCTCAAATCCCCAAGTTTATGACCCAAGACCAATGGGAGCATGGAGCTTAAGCAGCTTAACCTTGACTGTGAGCTTTCACTCCGCAGGTGTTTGGAGTCGACGTATGTGTCGAGGTCTTTGTTCCGTCAGAAATTGGTGCCATCCCAACATGAGTAGGACAAAAACACCCCCGGTTCCGTCCCCTTCCCCCCAACAAAGATAGGGCCTAGAATCATCCAAGTGTGGAGTATGTTTACCATATTTTTACCTATATATAGGTATTTTGTTACCTAATATATATATATATTATATTTTTTATAGATTGACCCCTTTTCAATTGATCAACCACCCCGAAATTCGCTCCGCCCCGCCGACCGCTGCTTTTCGGCGAGGATGGGACCGCCCAGTGGCGCATGAAGAACTACGGCACCGCCCACTTCCGAGGCACCTCTGGGCGTAGACGCGGCTGGGAGGAGCAGGGAGGAGCAGGGGCCTGGAGAATGGGTGTGTATGGTGTATGATACGTCAAGCGTCAGCGTATATGGTGTGAATTCGATTGATCAACTTGAGAAAAACCCTCAGTCTACGCCCAATGTCAAGAGCTGCATCTCTGGTCACTGTGCCGTACTGTAGTCCAAAAGATCACTGACTACTCATGGGGTGAAAGACTCTGATAATTGAAGGCATATAAAGCGGGTGTTTCCAATCCCACTGTGGAACAACCAGTTTGTGAAGCCTCCATACCATTCCATACCATTCCATACCTGCAGCTCTTCCGCCCCCCCCCTTCCTCGCCCTCAACGTCGCCGTGGTGGTCCAGCACCCAGCACCGCTTCGAGGCGGTGAGAACTTCCGGAGCAAAGAGGAGCGCAGCAAAGGCCACGTGTTGGGTTCCTACGCGTTTCTTTTCTCATTTTTTGCATGAGGGGAGGTCAGTGGAAGAAGGTGTGAGAGAGCGATCCTGCCAGGAGACGAGGTGGGTGCTTTCGATGTGCCCTTTTGGTGCCAGAGCAGTTAGCACTGCCCAAGCTTAAAGAAGAATCGCTCATTCCATTCAGCCGATCGCAGAGTAACCGACCTTCCCACACGAGGCTGTATCTACGAACTTGGAAGCGCGTTTGGGTCCCAGGTTCATCCACGTGGGTGTGTACTTTAATAGGGATAATGATAATAGGGAGATCCAAAATCAATGGGTAGACTGGTCTAGGTATGTCTAGGTTCTTTCTTCCAGGAGGTCGAACTGCGAAGGTCTCCCTATTTGAGCTACACACCCATCGCCCATGTTCCGTTGGTTCCATGGCCCATGGAGCAAGAGCCCCGTTACACCATCCCGAAACATCATAAAACTAGGTGTCCTGGACACGCACTGACCGCAATGGCACTGACCGCACTGACCACGTGGCATTTGCATCAAATTTGCCCGCCATGGGGACTGTCTCTTCAGAGGCAAAGGCAAGAAGGGCAAGGGCAAAGGCAAAGGCAAGGGTCGCAAAGGCGCGTTCGTCCGGGCGCGCTACCGGGGCCTGGAGTCAGGTGGCTTGGTGGGATCGGAGAGGTGACTGGGCAGGCAGCCCGTCTTCACTCGGCGCAAAGACAGAGAGTTCGCCATCGTCCCTCCTCCCCTCCCCCGCAGTGGAACTCCAGGCCTGCCAGAGCTCCACGATGTGATGGGCAAGACGTCCCGTTTTCAGCATGATCCACTCATTTGGGGTTGACCAACGACCCCGAAACCAGGACCTCCTGGCGTTTGGGGTTCGACCAGTTGCTATCCCGATCGCTCGGTCTCCGAGCGGCGAAGTTGCTGAAGGCAAGCGGAAGAAGGGAGAAGAGGATGAGGAAGACGAGGGCGATGAGGTGTGGCAAGAGGGGAAGAGATTGGAGGATTTCCTTCTGCAAACAGTGATTAGCTTTGACTTTAACTATTGCAAGTAGTACTGTGTCGCTCGTACGTGGCCAAGTCTGGGGAGAGCTTTACATCATGCAGTCACCCGAAATTCATTTGCAGGACTGTTTGAATGAGAAGACCATTATAGAAAACCACTGACGAGTAACACACTTTTTCGATGATAGCGTATCATCCATTTCAATGAGTCGTGACGTGGGGAAAGCCGATGGGTCATCCGAAGCTTCGACCAGCCGGTCTATCCGGATCTTCACTCCTCGATCAGACCTGAGATGGATTGGACCTGAGATGGTGGGCTTTGGCCAGCTTGCTCACAGGATTGGACGACATTGGGATTTGGGTCTCTTCCCCTTTTGGGGTGAATCACGCTTTCCTCTCCCCATCTCCCATCCCCAAGAGATCCCTCGGTCGCCAGTTGCGCACCGCATCCAGTTGCGCCCCAGATCCAAGAAGGGGCCCTAAGCCGAAAGAATCCCATCGAAAAAACCTTGGAACTTGGAATTCGGATCTTTTGGCCGTCGCTCCTCCCTGCGAGGGGGAAAGCAGGGTCACGTCCGAAAGCAGCAAACAAAGGAACACACACCATGAACGAATGAACGATCAAACGGAGGAGCCAAGCGTTCCTTCACGGACGGACGGACGACGAAGAGAGAAGACGTTGACATGGACCAAGGCGATTTCGAAAGACTACTTTACGCCTATACTGTGCTATAAGATGCCATAATCATTCGCAGGTTCCTGCATGTTCTTGATGTTCTTTCGATATGTGGATCAAATACCACCTGTTGGGAGTTCAAGAAATGATGGTTATGCCGCCATGCTGATAAAGGAATTCGGAGAGACCTGAACTGTAAGTGACCACAACACAATCGATTCAAGCTCGGTATGTGCTATGGAATTTGTTTGGGGTTCGGAAGCAGCGTGGTGGTGGGAGGGTTGATCAACCCAACCCGCGGGCTTGGACCGCCACGCGCCTCGCAGGGTGAATATGAAGAAGAGGACGATGGTGACATCACAGGAGACGAGAAAGGCCCCGAGACATGCCAGATTTGGGGCCACACGTGGATGCCATTCACCCCCACGGACTGTCACACGTGGACTGTCTCTCACCCCACAAAACCATTGCAGCCAGAACCTCAAATTTTTTGGGGCGTCCCAATATACCTGTGGCTCAGACCCCCCCTTTGAATCCCTTTGAAGCAAAAGCACTGGTTTAGGGCCTGTAAATAGGTATCCAGACCCCGGCTGGACACATCACCCCTCCTCTTGGAGCGATTTCCAGAATAGCAATGGCCTCCAGAGAGAATTCCTTCACATACCTGGACCTTCACATTGGTGTCCTGGCTGGAGATCCCTAAGTAGTGTAGGGCCTTCCGTTGGTGACCCCGACATGAAGGTGCTGGTAGCGTCTTGACCTTTTCCTTCACAACGACCGGTCTGGTCTCGGATCGCACTCCGAGCAGAAGCTCCTGTAGGACGTTGGGTTGGAGGGTTTTGTGGCCCATTTCTCCAAACCAAGAATTGGCTACTCAGAAGAGTATTTCACAAGGATTGCCCGCCCTTTCCTCTAGCCTGCTTTTAGTATCTACAGCTTCTGGCACGTGGCTTCGCCACAGTAATGGGGCCTGTCTCGTGCCGACTATACAAGGGCTCTTCAATCGAGTTTCCACAAGTTGATCAAGAACAGAGTCCCGATATACAGTGAATTCATACTCATGGAACCATCACCAACTCAATCATCGACATGACATCGGGCGCTCAGAACCGGATGATGCGCCCAGCGGCGCTGCCTGAGTGCTGATGCTGAAAACGCCCAGCCGCCGTCTCTTCGCCACGTTCTTTTCGGCTTTTCCATGATGCTGAAAACGAACCCAAGAGTGATGGCCTCCAATCTAATTAGGCCCGGAGAACAGATATCAACATGTCTGTATTTTCACACCTGTCCATGCGATGGCCTTGCTCCAAAACTGCAGATCTTCAGACCTCTTCTGTGAGCAGTTCTGTGTACCGCGGCGATCTTTTCTGGCTCAGTGGCGACACCCCCACGCCCAACTGAACGAGAGAGCGTTGACACTTGTCGGCGCCTTCATGTGATGTGAGTCAAATCCACCTTGATTTGGCCTTAGAAAGCCTTAGCAAACTGTTCCAGAGAGTGATTCGAAGCACCCAAACGAATAGACACTGTTCAAGAGAATGTCAGAACCCTTCAACGCGACTATATCTAATCTGGTGATTACAAAGAAGCGTTATTTCAATCGATCTGCTTCTCCCTGGTTTTTCACACCAGAGAAACTGCGATCAACGACCGGTTTTTGATGATCGATTGGGACTGCTGGTTTCGCAAGGTAGCTAAGGCTACACTGTTTTAATCATGCTTCCCTTCACTTCTGTGTTCCGTCTCACTTTTCAAAGCTCTACGGGACGCCATTGTGTGCGCCTGCGCCTTCGCCATGCCGTGGAGGCTAGGTCGCTGCCACTCGTCCGAGTGACTCCTCCTGTGACCGTCTACTGACCTGCTAAGATGGTAACTGGACCCATCCAGTGTGCCACGTCCCAAGCATCTTCTCCAAGGCTCTACCAGGGAAGGTCTCCTGGTACAACCACCTTCTCCAAGGGTAGATGGGCTTCTGGTAGAAAGGTACGGTGAATTAAAGTCCATCCATGTGCTTTTTGTGGGATCAGCATTATGGTCGAACACGTTTGGTTTTGCGGGCCTTGCTTTCGTGCCTTGCAAGATCTCGCGTTTTTCAGAACAGGTGTCCTTTCAAGAGAAGTCTTTGTGCTGAAAATACCTCGATGCCATAACTGCATCTCAGAATCCACCAGACCGAGAAGGCCCGGTATCACCTCAGGCCCGGCCCGGTATCACCTCTTTGCGCCTTGTAGGCGACGGAGCGGGTGGCTCTTGACCTTGGCAGCTCTTGCTGCAGGCGATGAGTCACAGATGAAATGATGGTCACAGGAGCCCCACAAACCATCAAACACCTGATCTTGCCTAGCAAAAACAATGGTTTCTTGTATGTGAACACCTTGATTTGCATGGTGTTGAGGGCCACTGGGATGCAATGATTCCTTTCATCGATCCCTGGTGAGGACTGGGTTGGAGGAGTTGAAGAGGGCGGACTCCATCAAGGTGACCCATGAAGCATGCAAGAGGGCTTCCCAAATTCCTATTTCAAGCATATGTGTTTGTTTTGTTCAAACATACAAACATATGTGGGCTTCCATTGCCCCGAAGGAATCGACCCACTCTTCACTGGCCGTTTTCCTTGGTTTGGATGATTTGATGATTGGGTGTTGGTGCTCTCACCTTGTCATCCTTTTTGGTCTTCCCAACTGGGGCAGATAGGAATGAACTCACCTCGAAACCCCATGGTGTTCACCGAAGCGCCGAAGGAACGGAGCGCAAAGACTCCCATGTTCGAACGAAAAGGCGGGGGAAAGGTCCGCAGCTCATTGTTGGCTCTCTTTCTTTGTTGGGTTTCGTTTGGTTTCATGAACATGCAAGCAACATGTTTTTTAAGCTTCCCATGAACCATCGCCGCTCGCATTCTCGGCCCCTCCATTGGTTGACGGACTCCTTCCAGAGTCTCCCTTTGGGTGTTCAACAAAGCGAGCTCACAGGTTGCACCGAAGACTCCTGTGAAGAGGACCGCGTGTCCCTTGGACGTTTTGGTCGTCGTGGGTGGTCACCCTCTGAGAATGCAGAGTTCAACAGGATTCCTCGTTGGAACAACAGAGCTTGGTTTCGTTTGGTCTCGTTCTTTGGCTTGGTCTCGTTTGTGCCCAAAGCTTCAACCGAAAAGGCATGAAAACTCGGACAGACCTTGGCCCTGGGCAATCAAAGTCAAAGGCTCCTCCCACAACTTCCTGGGCTCAACGCCAAAGTGTTCTGAATGCAGAAATGTTAATTCATGTTACATGTATTGAAATCCTTGTGCCGAAATCTGGACGTATAGTTTGTTGCCCGTACAATCTGGAGTAAACAGATGTAAAACGTATAACTAGTTACGATCCCAACCTATACTTCCTGACGACCCATGACCTTGGAAACATTTGGAACCTGAGAGCGAACCCTGGAAGATTCTCGCCGTGTTCAAGGCGGATTTCGGGGGAAGATTTCGAAGACTTTTGCAGTTTGGACGTGTGAGGTTTGCCGGTTTGCCTCTTCTTTTTCTTTCCGTTCCCAAGGAGTAGACCGAGCTCATAGATCGGATCTGGTTGGGTTGATGGTTCGAAAAAGACAGTGAGAAGCCCTGCGTATTTCTTGTGTGCGGACATTGGCGGGGGGATTTCTTTGTTGTTTTCATTTTCAGTAAAATTTTGTCGGCCTCTGTTTTCGATCCACGTAGACCAACAATCCTCCACAACCCCTCACAGTCACTTGGCAGTCACTGCATCCTTTCTCAGATCGGGATGGGGGTCCCTCGCATCGATTTCCAAAGGATCTGGGTTTCAGGTGGATCTTCTGCCGAGATCCACCCCCCCCTGACGACGTCAGACGAAAAGGTCGACGAATTCAGGACTCCCAGTGTTCGGGTTCAGACTGTCGGACTGCCTCATGCAGCTGCGCAGCCCGCGATGTCGCCCGCGATGTCCTCAGTTCCTGCCCTTCGGCCCCCGCAGGACTGGGTCCTTGATCAATTGGTGGATGCAGAGGCATGTGAATGAACAGAGCAGCGATGCAAGGTGTTTGAGACTTTGGAATGGTTGAGCTTCCGCTGTTGGCACTGGGGAATGGAAGTAACTTTAACTGATATATATATATATATAATAATATTCTAATTTACAGAAGGGATTGTCATGGGGGGTGGGTTTTTAATTCATAGGTTTTTCAATCATTTTCTAGTTAAGGAACATGAAAAGCCTGCAGAGGATCAAAAAAAA